TTCCCCCCCACGCTATCACCGCTGCAGACGATGGGGATGCTCACACTGGCCATTCCCAGGCCCAAAGACACCAACGGGCCCAGGGTAGCTTTGATTTCAGCAGACATTGCCAAGGGTCTCCTGTCCCAAACTGCTGAGATTTAGGAGTGTGAGTGCAGACGGAGTCCGGCACCAGGTTCCCCAGGTTGCAAGTGCTGGCTGGGCTTCTCAGCGGCACGGGCATTAGAGCGGACAGACTACCTTTGGGTGACGCACACTTACCCTGGAGGAGAAAATCCTTTCTGCCCTGACTCCCCCAACTCATGGTCTCCCACTTTGCCGAGGCAAAGGCTCCCAGCTTAACAGTAATTCCTCCATTTCATACCCAGGGCAGCCAGGGCTGGGAAAACCAGCCCCGGCCCTGCTCACCATATCTGTATTCCAATCTGGTTCTCCAGGCTGCTGTTGGGCGTCAGCATCTTTAACCTCCTGCGGGCACTGGACACAGTCACCATCACCACCCGGAACAGCACGAAGGTGTTCACCTGTCAGAGAAGAGCCGTTGGACCCAGTAACCTTCTGTAATCCCAGCTCCAGTGGGGTGAGGCTTTTCCGCTGGGAACTCAATAACTACGTGTCAGAACTTGGGGAGAAACGTATCACTCTTGAGAAAGCAGCGAATAAAATACTTCATAGAGCTATCCACACACCTGAAATCTAGAAAACTTATCTCAAAACTTCTCCTATAGAACGTCTTCCCTGTTAAGTGTCTATTCTGGACCACTTAAACATTGCACCTTTTTCCTCTACTATGTTGTTGTATAATGATACTGATACGACTTCAAGGATGTAGATGTTCCCGTATTAAAATCAGACCTTTAGATAAGGCAATGTCACAGTCAACCTACACATTTATCTACATTCCTAAATTAACAGTCAATACAAGAACTGGTCAGCAAAATTTTCTTAAAGCATTTTTTTCTATCAAAAAGCTGCTTTCATTAAAGAGATTTGTTTGTGCTCTGAGAGTATATATAAAGCATACCAAAAATTTTCCTACAAAAGCAGCAGGCACAATGAGCCCTGGGAACAAGCACCTTAGCTACAGAAGCGCTGACACCCCTGACGCTGCAACGCTTTCCTAAAACCAGACACGAAGGAATCACACCTTCCCAGCAGGTCTTGGCACTTACGGCCAGGATGAAGAGAACAGGGCCAACAAAGGCCCAGATGACGTTGGTCTGAACGTTCAGCCAGCAATGGTTGTCTGCCACATACTTGTTAAAGGAAGTTGCGAGGGTCACACCCACGATAACAACTGGAAGGCCTGCAGAAAAAAAACACAGATTAAATCCCAGGAAAAGCAGCGATGACCCATGCAGACAATTGCTTCAAAACCCCCATGACCAGACACGCTCCAGCGTGAGCCAGCTTAGCCTCTGAAACCCCATGAGCAACATCAATTTACTGCGGCTGAAATCTGTCCCAGCTCTGCAAGACCAAATTTATATGCTGTCAGCATCATTCTCCTAGGTATAAAGCATTCCAAGTCCTGAGTCCTGATCAAAGCAATTTACTCCTCAGATTGCTTTTTTAACAAAACAGACAATCAAAGACATAAAACAATCCAAAATTCTTGAACCGGTTGCCCAATGTTCAATTAGGTGTGTGTTTTGCAAGGAGCACTGACCTAAAGAGGCTCCTCTTCGATATGAAACTCAGCTTGCTCGAATGAATTCTATGTCCCTAAAGGGCTCGCTCAGAATAAAGGGTGCTTAGTCAGGAACATACTTATATTTTCATTACTATCAGACAGTAGTAATGCTCTCCAAGAACAAGAACTTACCATAAACTTTCTCCTCCATTTTTTTGTATTGAACTCTTGGACTTAGAAATGCTTTTTAATTTACATTCTAAGACCAGCTATTTGACACATAAAGGTAAGAAAGCCTCTGCAGAGCAGTGGCACCCGGCTGTCGCATTGAATCAAACCAAACATTCGGGAATCTCTCCTACTGAAACTTTTGCTAGACAAAAAATCGACACATTTTTCTGAGCGCCCAGCACAGAGGAGGCTGTAGATACCCCAGCCTGTCACATAGTAGAACTTCATTCTCCTGTCTTCGCTCATGTTGACTGCCACCACTTTGCTCCACAGGAGAAGCCCCTCTACCAGCATCCACGAAAAGGCTGCCATGAAGAAGAGGTGAAGGAAGGCAGTGACCGTGAAGCACATCACCTGGAGAGAAGAGAAATCACACGCTCTTTCAGGACGGGGAGTGCTCTGGGAGCTTCTGAGTGTGTGTGGTCAGGAGGAAGAGGGCAACCTGCAAATTATGCTGCAGAATGTGCAGAAATGTATTTAAACATCCACAAGCACCAGGAAGAGTTGTTAAAATTGCAACACGTGAATCGTCCAACTGCTGCAGCTCACACTCATTTCATCTGTGTGACCACCTCAAACCACAGAAGGAGGAACTGGTAGCATCTTTCCTGCAGTTCTTGGACTTTCCTTGCGGGTCTTTCATCTCAGAGCTGCTTGATCCAGCCCCAGGATGTGGAAGAGGCCACAGAAAGGGACAGAACTGTACGTTGCTGTTTTATAACTACTTAAATTTCCTGAAGGATTTTTTTTGTCAGAAACAAACTGTCAGAAAAAACGCATGAATTTTCCTGACAGATTGCACAATGCATATATGCATATTTCCAAACACAGAGACACAATTCTTTCCTAGATGCAAGTTACAGGTAATTAATGAAACGTTAATAAGAGGGATCACACTTCTGTTCTGTTTGCTCTGACAGCAGTGCTTGAGCAGGCCTGGTCCTGCTGGCTGAACAGGACACCTTCTGCTGAGCTTACCGGGTTGGTCCTGGCCAATTCACTGAACATGAGCAGAGCTTCTGCTGCAGCTAACGCAAAGATCAGGTTCTTGTGCACAGTTGTTCGTTCGCTCTTGGGGAGGCTGAGGAAGGAGAGAGGAAGCCCTCAGCTGCAGTCAAGTGAAAGGGGGCACGTGTTCTCACCAGTCCTTGCTGGGCTGTGCAGACCTGCCCGGCTGACCTGCCATCTCTCTGGCACCCGCTGCAAAGGCGACAGTCCAGCGAGGCAGGGGACTGCCCTGCTCTGCAAGCACTCGGTGCTGGGGACGCGCTTGGGTACGGCTGCTCAGACCTTGGCCACTGCTCCAAGGGAGAGGCAGCGAGGAGGAGGAGGAGGGAGCCACTGCCGCGCTCACAAGGCAGATCTCTGTGCGTGCCAAGTGACGCAGAACGGTTGGCAATTGAAGAAATAGTCTTTGCTCCATTTATTTTATAAAAATTAACTCCAGCAGAGCAGTTTTTATGGTAAACACTGTTAGTCATCTTTCCACAGACACTCAGGTGTGTGCCCAGCTCATACAAGCATGTCCATAGAAACAACCAGCGCTGCGGCCCCTCCCTAGCCAACGACAGCCGCTCCCCTCCCTCCCCTTTGCCGCCCACTACCACTGCAGCCCCCCAGCCTCTCCCCACGCACCTGCATCACCCCACACTGACAAAGGATACCTTCTTTATATACTTGTTCTGAAGCAAAATATCAAACAAAAAACAGAGAGAAGGCTACAAGTGTCTGGACTTTTCTTACCCAACTGCCAAGAATAAAATGAAGGTAACTATCAAGGCACAGAAGGAAACTCCACATCCAACAAAAGTCAAGGTCTGCAGTGTGAGCTCCTCCTTGGTGGTTCTCTGCTCCAACAATGAAACAACAGAAGACACAAAGGCCCCACAAATTAACCACAGACTGCTTGCTGTTCTGGCATCGGCCCCTCAGAGCGGCAGAGAAAGGCTCCTTGCTTACCTGCATCTCGTACACCTGCAGCAGGACAGCAAAATTCGTGGTGTGGTTGCAAAAACAGGCAGTGGAGTCCAGGAGAGATGTCACCACAGAGCAGCCGGCTGTGGACCACATCCCACCAGCATCTGGGCTAACATGCAGCAAAAAACCAGAGAAAACACATGGAAATTACCATCCACTTCAACAGAAAGCCAAGGCGTTACGCGAATTTCATTCTCCCAGAAGAAGCAGAGTTGAAAGGAGGAAGAAGAGTATATCAGAGATGGGTCGTCATATGGACTTTCCTTTGGCTCATCCTGTGTCTCAGCAGATTTGCCTTATCCATCAGGCATGCACAAGAAAACAGGTTTAGTGTCAATGCGTGCATTAAAAAGCACAGTTCAGCCCTCATTGCTTTAGACAGAACTCAGTAACGGCTCATTCACGGCACATTCACTGAGAGCATCACTGCGCCAGGCAAGTCTAATCCTCTCTCGGTCACCTTGGCCTGCCATGTACCCTGTGCAGTTCCACCGGACTCTTGCTCTCCAGGACAAGACAGCCTGTCTCCGGCCAGGCAGCTGCTCACCGCCGCCCGGGCAGCCAGCAAAGCTCCAGATCTGAAATCCCTGTGCAGGGACGAAGGCTGGAGCAGGTCAGCTCTGTCCTCGCTGGCAGCACTGCCCCTCTGAGCCTGCCCCAGTATCAAGGGAAGGCTAAGTTCAGAGCAGGGCCGGTGGAACTGTTTGTGCAGGAACCAGCCGCTTCCAAAAACACCCTCTTCCCACCTTCCCCAAACTGATCCATGCCTGTTACAAGACTGGGACTCTATGGAGTTTTTTTGCACTTGAATGACTTAATTACCGATCCATAATATATCACAGTCTCAGTGCTCTCACTGCGGTGACGTTCAGCAAAAACACATCTCAATGCCAAGCAGTATTTATGAGGCTGGGAGTCCTGCATGTCTGTTGGGCTATATATCTTGGACCAACCCTTCGTTGTTGCAGGCAACAATCACAATTAACTAGGGCTTTCCATTTTAGCTGTATATACCTCCTTAAAGGTCACTTGCTTGTGAGTGACTTTTCCAAAGGAAATCTTCCCAGGAGAGCGCTCTACTCCAGCAGATAGAGGATGCCAGCACGCAAAGCAGCAAAGAATTAAAGACCCCTACTCTTACCATTAGACTTATATTGTTACATTTGGTTTTCCAGTGGAAATTAAAGCTCACAAATCTGGGGACTCAGACTGAAACAAGGCACCTGAGGCTGAAGTTCCAGAAGGCACAGATGGGCCCCACCAGCTTATTGGGCAGGTCCTGCAGGCAGAGAGGGAGAAGAAGAGGTTACACAGCCACGCACCCACCGTATGCAGACTGATGCAGCTCACTCGCTAGGCTGCCACAAGGTCCGTCAGCACAGGACAAACACCTCCCCAGGGAAATGGGGGTCAAGGGGAGAGACCTGGGCACGGGACACCCCTAAGTCCAAGAGCTCTGGGGGCCTTCAGCCAAGGCTGGGCATTCTGCCGGGTCAGGCTCGCGATGCCGCTGGCGGGGAAGCGGCTGGGAAGCACAGCCCCTCCTTGGGGTACCTGGACACGGTGCTGCAGGCGGTAGCGCACAGACGTGCTGATCTCCTGGTAGTCGCTGAGCAGGGTGGAGGAGATCACAGCAGTGCCCACCGTGGTGCTCAGGTACCTGTCAGGGAATGCATGCTGCTCACAGGCACCCGAACCACAAGACGCGCTCAGAAAACAGCATCTCGTGTTATACAAGACAGCTGGAGAGATCCAGAGCCGCTTCTGGAGTGCTTCAGTGCCACCAGCAAAGGGCCTGGGGACAGGGCAGAGAGTGCCCCAGGTTGCCTGGCGAACAGAAAACACCTCCGCC